GATAACTATTTTAATATAAAAAAGGGGGTTATATGGGGACTACCCCAAAAAGGGGGCGAATATTAATATACGACTACAAAATACCAAACTGCACCAAATTCGGTTGAAAAATGCGCTCAAGCGTGATTACAACAGACGGACGGACGGACATGGCTAGATCGTCTTAGAATTTTACCCTGATAAAGAATATATATACTTTATAGGGTCGGAAATGAATATTTCGATGAGTTACAAACGGAATGACAATATAACTCCATACTATGGTGGAGGTCAAAAAGGGGCGAATATTAATAATTTTTGGTAGGTAGATTTGTTACCATATACAACTACAAAATACCAAAATCCAGCAAATTCGGTTGAAAAATGCGCTCAAGAACCCACAAATACCGAAAATTGGGTGTACCCTTATATGGGGGCTATCCGAAAAAATGGATCTATATTCATAATTTTTTGTGGAGAGATTTGAAACCTATTAAGAACCCAATGTACCAAATTTCAGCGTATTCGGTTGAAAAACGCGCTCAAGAACCCCAAAATACCGAAAATTGGGGGGTACCCTTATATGGGGGATATCCGAAAAAATTCACCTATATTTATAATTTTTTGTGGAGAGATTTTGTACCTATTAAGAACTCGAAATACTAAATTACAGCCAATTCGGTGGAAAAATACGATCAAAACCCCCAAAATACTGGAAATTAAGAGGTACCGTTATATGGGGGCTACCAGAAAAAGTGGACCTATATTTATAATTTTTTGTGAGGACAGTACCCAATAAGAACCCAATGTACCAAATTTCAGTGTATTCGGTTGAAAAACGCGTTCAAGATCCCCAAAATTCCGAAAATTGGGAGGTACTGTTATATGGGAGCTATGCCTCAACGTGGACCGATATATCGAACTTGACCTGCCTGCAGACAAAAGACAAACCTATGCAAAATTTCAGTACCCTATCTCAATTCCTTCAAAAAATGGCGTGATTACAACAAACGGACGGACAGACGGACATGGCTAGATCGTCTTAGAATTTTACCCTGATCAAGAATATATATACTTTATAGGGTCGGAAATGAATATTACGATGAGTTACAAATGGAATGACAAAATTAATATACCTTCCATACTATGGTGGAGGGTATAAAAACTACTTCAGTTCAGGAAATTAAAGTCTTTTGGGCTCAAGGAAATCGAAATTTCAAAGTACATTATCTTCTGTTGTAGCATCTTCAAAAGACCGAAAATATAAAACTTGGTACTTTCTGTGAGATGCTCTCTCATCCTCTGAAAACCTGAAAAACAATTTCAAGGTGGATTTGTCTGTTGAAATCGCAATGAAATTATATGAAGCTCCTACTCGTATTTTCCAAGACTACATTACAGCAATTGTTTTGACAAAGCTTTCATATAAATGTGTGTGACTGTAATTTGTCAAATTAGTATATTATATATTGATTTGCCAATATTTTATTCTCAATTGCATATAGATTTTGTTTGACCTTTTTGTACGCTCCGGGTAAAATATTACTACGGAATACCTTTTAAAATATCATAAATATATTCATACATCGACGAAAGAGAGAATATGCAAACAACATTTGGAAATTTCATAAACTTATCTTCTTCGCAAAATAATAATAAACTTGGAAAACTATTTTCAGTATTTCGGTCTTGATAAGTTCAATGCACTGTGTCGTGGAATTGGTTATGCAAAGAAATTTTTGTAATGGTTTAATCGAAACAAAAACGCGTTCAAAATTTTGAAAATAGCTAGCGGAGATGTTTTGGTACCGTTATGAAACCCTGAAATACCAACTTAGAACCATTTTGATCAAAAATCTTCATATGATGGAGGCTACTCTTAAAGGTGGGTCAATATTAAAAGTTTTTAGTACGTAAATGTGTTATACAATGAGAACCCAAAATACCAAATTACAGCCAAATCGGTTGGAAAAGGTGTCCAAAATACCGTATACTCGGGGGTACCGTTATATGGTGCCTAACCTGAAACTTGGGTGAATATTATATGGGGGCTACACTAAAACGTGGAACGATGTATGTCATTTGGAAATGCAAAATTTCAGAGCTCCATCTAAACATTTTGCATCTCTATCGTGATTTAAACAGACGGACATGCGTAATTGATTTGGGCCATAAAAGCGGCCTCTGGTCGCAATTATGGCCCAAACTTCGTGAATTTTTACATGGAGAAGAGGATCGGGCCAAAGAATAAGCATGCATGTTTTCATAAAGATCGATCAATATTTAGCGGGTCAAATGGACCCTGACTTTTGTGTGAAAAAGTGACAAAATTTGCATTCTATGGCTTGTATATTTACCCCTGAATGACATAGACCCGAGAAGTTGATAGTATGTCCAAGAGGAGTGGTTGACTTTTAAATTGATATGCATTATATTGTCGTATGTATTCGGATGTGGGAGTTACACGTTAATATTTACAGGTGCTTACGTGTTCAGATATTATTTAGTAACCCATTACCACACTGGAGGGCGAAAATATATCGCTGATCGCATTGAAATGTTCCATGAAGTACCAGTTATGGTCAAGGACAACGAATATAATTTTCGGTGATGATCGGATAATAATTTTGAGATGAAGTGGACCGAAAACTTATTTTTTTTTGATTTTTTCGAGTCGATCTATATATAGGCCACAAATATAAACCGAACATAACAACACAATCCACTCTGAAGGGAATCTGGACAAGTAATTAGAAGGACTGTACTGATTATTAGTAATGTTCGGAAAATATGTCAGTGTATGGAAGAGGTGCTTCTGACCTCTACTCGGGCAAGAGAGTGCAACTATCACGAAATATTGCCCAGGTTCCGAATAAAAATCCACAGGAAGTTAAGGTTCGTGGTAGTTGTGTAGGGTATCGTATGGTCGCCACAGTCCGACTATACTGCTCCGCTCACTGGTTATATCTGTTATATGAGTCATATGGATACACGCGATCAGTAAGCTTTTTTACGTTCCGGATAAAATAAAAAAAATTCGGCGGGAACTGGATTGCCAAAAACACGAAATTTGGCAAACAATAATTTTGAAAATATCGCGGATTTAATTTCATTTTCTGTGCATCATTTCCATTTAAAGCAAATGACAACTTTAAAAACTTCTGCCGAAAGAAAGATGCACCCGATTTATCTATAAACCAGTACGTTGTGCAAAATTTTTGTTAATCTTGTGTAAAATCGGAAGAATATATATATATATATAGAATCTATATTAAAATCTGAACTGATTTCAACAAGACTTGCCAGAGATCAACTTATATTAACTACAGTTCATTGTACAAAATTGTGTGGCAATCGGACAAACTTTGGGTCTTTAGTGCGAAATGTACATAAAATCGGAAGAATATATATATATATAGCTCATGCCAAATTTCGTGCAAATCGAAAGGTATATATTGACTTTGGTGCACCAGCTACAATACATCGGAGGAAAATATATATCATTCTAACATGGACAGATGGACATGCGTAAATCGATTCAGAAAGTGACTCTATGTATATTCTCAAACGGAACCATGTGCATATCTCGTTTCCTTTTGCAGCTCGATGTATATCGATCGATGTATATCGATCGATGTATTTTTTAGGGTGCACACCAAAATCGGAAGCGCGTAAATGGTATATTGGGTTTTTGGAAATTATTCGCGTTTAACGAGTTTTTGTAGTACATCTTCGCGTCAAATGAAATTTCACAAAATATACATGGATAACTTTCAGTACGAGGCCGGTTCGGAAACTTCCTAGCCTAGCAATGAAAGAGAATAGTTAGTTTTTCAAAAAAATTTCTATTTTTCAATGTCTGAAAATGTTCAAAATACTCACAATGTTCAAATGCTACCCCTACGCACTATGTCGCGAGTTCATATTAGCAGCGGCCAAAAATAGAAGGAGTTATCGTAGGTGGATAAAATTTGGTACAAGTGCTAATTATTGGCATAAAGAACAACAGACAAAAAACTGGTTAGATCGGACCAAGATTTGGTATACCTCCAATATAGTGGGTCTTGAGAATTTTACCCTTTTTGACTTAAAAATCTTTAATTTTCAACCAAATTCAACGAAAATTGGCAATTTATATCAACTTAGGTCCATAAAGCAACTGACAAAAAACTGAATAGATCGGACCAAGATTTGGTATACCTCCCATAGAAAACGTTAATCTCTATAGACATTAGGCCAATATTAATAATTTACTACCAATGAGTATTCAAAGCATAAAAGCGCAGCTAATTTGATTGAAACACGTGCCCAAACTTCTCGAAATATCGAAATTTGGGACCTCGTATTATATGAGGGCTAACCTATAAACTAAACCCATATTAATAATTTTTAGTATAATAATTTACATCCAATGAGAACCCAAAGAAACAGTCCTCATATTAATATTCTAACCGATTTTTGTAGATCGCGGTTCATAGTAGGGAATATGAAATGTTCAACCAGTTCCAACTAATCGACATGTGTATACTGTTCTCCATTCTATCAATATTAGCCCACGTTTCGGGATAAATCCCACATAATGGTAATCCCACATTGTTCGGTATTTAACGGAGTTTCAGCACGTTTAGCAATTGAATCTTCGTAGCAACAATGTCAATTCTATACAATATTTTTCAAACCCTGCCTTTTGATACTGTATAATAATAAAACGTCAAAATTATCCCACTGTCCATGTAAAATAAAACAAGAAACCTTTGCTTACAATATTTATAAAATATTTACAAAAGCAACATCTTTTTCCCCAAAGCTATTATGCAGCAACTTTGCGGAAGTGCTATAAGTTTTTGTAGATTCACCTCTTGTATTTATAAAATTGTAAAAATAAATTTAATGGACAAATAGGAAGTTAGTGCCTAATAAAGTCAACAGCTTGCATTTACTTTATTTTAACTTTTTGTACAAACAATTGACCGGCTTCTAGAACTCCTCACCGATATAATAGCACAAATATTTGGCCTAAAATGTTGGTAAATATTTCATGCTAGAAGAGTTTTTATGTCACCGCTAGTTCAGCCGTTGTGATGTCAATGACACTACGAGGTAGAATATCTTGAAGATCTTCGTGAATAACCAATCAGCCAGTCATCCAGATTTCCACAGAGATGCCATCAACACGCGTAGTAGAGCTTTAGGTACTGACCATGGTTAACAAAAAATTCAAGTGGTACTTCATGTTTTCATTTGCTTTGTTGTTGTTGGCGTGCCTCTCTTCATTTACCTCCCTTCAATGAAGTGTAACAATAGTGATCAATGCGTTGTGGTAAATTGGTGTGACGACGAGTGTGTTTAAGCCGCTTTTTCGGTTGGTGTTTTTTTTTTGTGTTATGTCATTCTCAATTGAATCGCATGGAACATGTTCGACCAGTATTGAGTGAAGTTCGTTCAAACTGGCGCTTGTTTGATGGTCGCCCTAATGGGGTTTCAATAATTACCCATAAGTGTTCGCAGCATCTGTCTGTTGGCCGGCCGGCTAGCTGATGGGGAGAATATTGATTGGATTTTTCTTTGCTCGTGAGTTTTGTAACGATTTCAAGGTGTGAATTTTTTGTATAAATACAAAATTGTGATTATCGAAAATCATTATTTATCCAGCAACTGTAACAGAGTCGAGAAGTAATCAAAAATGGTAAACGAAATCTGAATAAATTTAGAATTTTTATTAAATTGTATTTTTTGTTTTAGAAATTGTTTATTGTCACCCTAAGCTGTGTCCTCTTGGCCGTCAATGGCTTGACATATATTCCATCCTCGTTACGTTTGCGTAGAGATGTTTCGGAATTGTTGGCTGAACCAAAAAATGAATATTTGCCACCCGCCACCGAGGAAGCCAATGATGTAGAGGTGACTACCATACTGCCCAGTGAAGAAACCGAAGTCCAAGATACTGCCGTATTGGGTAAAGATGGTTACGAATACAAGACTGTGAAACGAGTTGTTGTTAGAAGTCGCCGTGATGTTTCCCACCTGAATTTGAATTATTTGCCACCTTTGGAAGACCAAAAGCCAAGCAATGAATATTTACCTCCTTTGGCCAGTGGAGAACAACAAGAAGAGGTGGAATCACTCCCCTCCAATGAATATTTGCCACCAGTCGAAACAAAACAGGCCGAAGAAACTGAATTGGCCACTGAAGCTCCTGAACCTTCAAAGGAATATTTGCCACCCGTTCCAGAAGCCAAGGAAGCATCTGAGGAAACCACAAGTGAAGAACCCAGCAAAGAATATCTACCACCAGCCAAAGAAGCAGAAGAAGAAAAAGTGAACGAAATTGAAGCCACAACTGAAGCAAAGATCAACGAAGAAATCACCACCATTGCTCCCGCCATGGAAGAGGCTGCCCAAGCTGAAGTTAAAGAAGCCGTAACCGAAGCACCCATGGAAATGCAAGACACTGCCGTTTTAGCCGCCGATGGTTATCATTACAAGCAACCCAATGAAGTACCCATGGCACTGTTTGCCATGGAACAAGAACCCGCTCAAAACCCCGAAAACTTGGCCGCCCTTGAAGAAGCCGTTGTCGAAGCTGAAGGACCCGAGAATGGTGAATCAGCTGTCTTGGCTGAAGATGGCTATCACTATCGTGTCATTAAACGTCGTTTCTAATTTGGGGCGAGTCAACTTTTGTTTTCTATGTTTAAGTTTAGTAGCATTGCCGGCGAAGGGTGGCTGCTGTTCTATGAATTTAATTAACTTAAGATAAAACACACGTTCATAAGTATATATTTTTTGTTTTGAAAATTTCATTATAGTTAAAGTGTTAATTAATTTTTGTTTTTGTTTTTTTGATGTTGGAACTATGGTTTGCTTCATCGCAGCACCACCATTAAGTTCACTTACAGAAATATAAAATGTTAATTCAATTAAATGTGATGTAATTATGAATAAGTGTTAATTTTTTACGTGGCAACACACATGCACACAAACATATGTAATAATTTTTGCACATATATTTCAATATAATCGATATTGAATAAACAGGTGGGTAAAACATTCTATGCCATCAATCATGAGCTACATAGTCAAAATATCTAAAATCGGTCGAGGCCGTGGATGCTGAGTCATACATATAGTTGGATGGAAAATTCCCAAGGATCTGCTCTATATCGAGGGTGTGTGCGACTATTAGATGGGGGATATATCAAACTATTAACTTAAATGAATACGATAATTCCTGGGTATACCCATCAGGAAGCTGAATTGTTTAATTAAAGTAACTTTGGATGGAAATGCATTTACAAAAATTAAAATTCATAAAACTTGGGGGATCGGTTTTTCAGCCCAAAAAGAGCTGGCAATACCAAATTACTGGAACTTCAAAATGTGCACCTATATTTGTGATGTATAGTTAAATGGAGGCATATAAAAATGTTTCTATGGTAACATGTTAAAGGCAATGTGGAACCTGCAGCAACTTTTAATATGAATGGGTGTAAAACTTTTAAGAAGTATAATTATGCATTTACCGCACCAAAACGTGGGCCCATATATGCCACTTTTAACAATTTAAGATCCTAGTAATGGGGTTAATGTATGTGCACAGGGGAGATGCCGTTATATGGGGACTAAGATATCATTTGGATACAAATACGGATAACCCCTTCAGCAATAAGTGTTACACAGCGCCATTTGTCATTATAGGCGATTTGGATGATAAACGTATGCTAAATTCGGAAGTTTTCGTTACATGGGGACTATCCTAAATAGAGACCAATATTGATAATTTTTGGTGGTATATGTGTTTATCACTTGGAACCCAAAGTACTAAATTATAGCCGATTCGATTACAAAATGTACCCCTATTCCCCAAAAATACCTTTATATGGCGTACCCTTATGTGTAAAAATTTTTTGGTGGTGAAACAAATTACACGTCGTAATAAATTGTAATATTGGAAAACGATGTCATATTTGTGAGGTAACGTTAAATGGAGGCCAATCCAAAAAAAGGCACCAATAAAGGAAAAAGGTTCACTATTCCATGATAACCCAAAATGCCAAATTACAACCGATTGGATGAAAAACGTGGCGAAAATCTCAAAAGTACCGTAATATGGAACTATACCAAAACGTGGATCGATATATCCCATTTATAATACCAAACATCCTAGGAGTATATGTGTAAAAATTAAAAACTCTATATTAATATTGAGATGTCATTCATGACTTCAACAGACAGAAAAACAATGCATAAATCGAAAATTTTATTCGGATCATGAATATACAGTGGCGTGCAGAAATGATTGGATGTTTGTACCCTGAACAATTTTAACGTCATAAAAATAAAAGTAAAACCAGAAGGAAGTAATGTCGGACTGAGCCGACTATATGACCACCACTTTGGGAAGCTAAATCTAAATCTCATCCGATTTTCACGAAACTTATTATTCCAGACTAAATTAAATTTCGTGCAAGTCGAAAGAAAGACGAAATTTAATCTGAAACGATTTTAACGAAACTTAACACACATAATTCTGGACTTAATTCGGTAAGCTCTGCAAGATTTCGTGAAAATCGAAAGAAGTATAGGGGCTTTGTTGCATCATTTACATAAAATCGGACGAATATATATATGGGAGCTATATCTAAATCTGAACCGATTTTCACAAAAATTAGCACAAATCATCCAGACCCAATTTTTAGTACTTATACCAGTATTATATTTTTAAACTGTCATTTATGCAAGTTGACACACTTTCAATTAATTTCAGTACAATTTAATTTGTAATATTTTCCAGATCCTCTGCCATAATTCGTCTAAATTATTAGGGGCTGATTGGATTTAGGTTGGGACTGTGTGATGTCCACTGCGTTAATTGAAAATTTAGCTCACCAATAGATTCTCTCAGGATTTTTACTTTTTCTGAAGGATTGACGTTCTTGGTAGATAAGAAATATAAGAACCGGTTGATATGACTCTGCAATGCTCAAAATGTACTTATTTCATTATTATATTGTCAATTTTTTACATTGGTCTACGGTCCCATAAGTTATCGCCAAAAATGCGTATCTTTGGATTGAAAACGGTTAAATGTACAACTTTTTGGGTCGTTGAAAAAAATTTATCCTGACTTTGCAGGTTTTTCCGATAATACCGGTTTTTGGTTTTTACTGCTGATATAAGCATCGTTTCATAACTGATGATGAGATTTGGATCCACCACTATACTTCAGAGACAAAAAAACAATTCAAACAATGGACTGAACCTGGAGGAAGTGCCCCAAAGAAGGCAAAAACAATTCAATCGGTTGTTAAGGTTATGGCAACGGTTTTTTGGGTCTTCAAATGTATTTTATTGATTGACTATCTGCAAAAGGTTAAAACAATAAATTCAGATTTTTTGGATCTTTGAAATATCAAGACAACGCGCCAGCGCACAATAGTGTTTTAACAATGGGTAAAATCACCGAATTAGCAATACGAGTTGCTCGATCACCCACCATATTCTCCTGATTTAGCTCGAGTGCCTTTTACATGTTCTCAAATCTAAGCAGTAAGGAAAGTAGTAAAGTCGGACTGGGCCGACTATATGATACCCTTCACCACTTTGGGTTCATATGTATCCGAAAAGACGTCGTCTTTTTTAAGGAATTTTGACATGAAATTGAACGAAGTTAAACATGTGATTTTTATATCTTTCTGGAACATATGCTAAATTTCATTTTATTTGGGCAAGTTTAGAGTCGTTTGCGCACAGTGGGACAGATTTGTGTAAATCGGTTTAAAGCAAATTTGACACACGCTATTCGGTATGCTGCACTGTTTAAAACTTAATCTCAATAAATATGTCGAAATTATATATGGAAGCTACGAGATATCTATATCTGAACCGATTTGAAGCAAACATGCCAGATATTAATTTATACTAATTTCAATACGTTGTGTCAATCGGCCTAGCACAATTTACTTAAAATCGTTCCAAAATATATATAGGAGGTTACACATATTCCAGACTTATTCAATACGCTATGCCAAAATTCGTGCAAATCGAATGATTTTCAGAGACTTTGCACACATCATTTACCTAAAATCGGGCGAAAATATATATAGGCTATATCAAATTTCATTTTCAGCAAACTTAGCAGATATATAGGGACTAATTCAGTAGGCTATACCAAAATTTACCATTTACCTAAAATCGGGCGAAACTATATATGGAAGCTATATCGAAATCTGAACCGATTTTCTCGAAACATAGCACACGTCATTCTAGACGTAATTCAATACGCTACGCCAAAATTCGTGCAAATCAAATGATTTTCAGGGACTTTGGTACACCATTTACCTGAAATCGGACGAAAATATATATGGGAGCCACATCTAAATCTGAATCGGTTTTCACGAAACTTAGCACACATAATTTTAGACGTAATTCACTGGGCTATACTAAATTTCGTGCAAATCGAAAGATAAATAGGGACTTTGGTACCCAATTTACTTTAAATCGGACGAAAATATATAGGAGTTATATCTAAATCTGAACCGATTTTCACGAAACTTGGCACACATCATTCTAGACCTAATTCAGTAGGCTTTACCAAATTTCGTGCAAATCGAAAGATATTTAGGGACTTAGGTACCCCATTTTCCTTAAATCGGGTGAAACTATATATGGGAGCTATATCTAAATCTGAACCGATTTTCACAAAACTTAGCACACGTCATTCTAGACTTAATTCAATACGCTATGCCAAAATTCGTGTAAATTAAATGATTTTCAGTGACTTTGGTGCAACATTTACCTAAAATCGGGCGAAACTATATATGGGAGCTATATCCAAATCTGAACCGATTTTCACGAAACTTGGCACACATCATTCTAGACCTAATACAGTAGGCTTTACCAATTTTCGTGCAAATCAAAAGATATTTAGGGACTTTGGTACCTCATTTACCTTAAATCGGACGAAAATATATATGGGAGCTATATCTAAATCTGGACCGATTTTTCCCAAATTCAATAGGGTGAGCTGTGCCAAATTTCATTCGGATCATAAATGCGACCTGTACTTTGTTTACAATTTAACATGGACAGACGGACAGACCGACGGACATGCATAAGTCGACTCAGAAAATGATTCTATGCATATTCTCAAAAGGAACCATGGGTCTATCTCGTGGTGGTGGTGAAGGGTATCATATTAGGTTGGGGAAAAGAAATGGTAGATTTTGAGCTACTGCTAACATGCCGGTTAACTTCGATCATTTCTCCGATTTTATCGATATTTTCGACGACCGGCCTACCTGTGCGAGGTGCATCTTTAACATCAAAAATTCCTGAACGGAATTTACGATACAAAAATTGCACATTATTGGCAGTAACAGTATCAGAACCATAAACACCATTCACAATTTTAGCCGCTCGGCTAGCATTTTCGCCTTTGTCAAAGAAAAACTGTGAAATGTACCGAATTTTCTCTTTGTTCACTTCCATTTTTAATACCCTGTAACACAAAGAGATAATTCAACTGAATGCACCAAACAAATACCAGCAAAATACTTTTTTTTTACTGCGAAATGTCATCCTTCCAACGAGCATAAATCTGAAATTGTTTGATCGATACTTTACGAGAAATCTATCAGTACAGCCATCTGCCAAAAAATAAC